ATGAACTTACTTCTAAGAATAGGAAAAGCCCTCACATTGGCGAGGTTGATTTGAATGGCGTATTAATTAATGACCCTAGCAAAATTGCTGATGCGTTTAACGATCACTTTTCAAACATCGGACCAGACCTTGCAGATAAAATTAATCTTAATTATAGCAATCGGTCTTATCTTGATTATTTACCTAACCAAAATAATGCTATTTTTCAATTGAGGGAAATAAGTATTCCAACCGTTTACGCATTACTGTCCACGTTAAGCACTTCTAAAGCAACAGGTTTAGACAAAATATCTTCTAGGTTAATTAGAGAATGCTCTGACTTAATTGCAGAATCCCTCTGTCTTATTTTTAATCGTTCTATCACTACGGGCATATTCCCAAACGAATGGAAATGTGCTAAAGTTATTCCTATATACAAACAAGGCAAACGCAATTGCGTTGATAACTATCGTCCCATTTCTATTGTTCCTATTGTGGCTAAGGTTTTTGAAAGGGTAATTTATGATCAGCTATATACATTTATAGCTGAAAATGAATTATTAACTAATTATCAATCGGGATTTCGAGGCCTACATTCTACTGTCACCTCTCTTCTTGCGGCTACCAACGAATGGGCTTATAATATTGACAGTGGTAATGTAAATGCTGTAATGTTTCTTGATCTTAAAAAAGCGTTCGACACTGTAGATCATGAAATATTGCTGAACAAACTTAATGCATATGGAATCAAGGGAACTGCGGGTAACTGGTTAGATCGTATCTAAATGAACGTAATCAAAAGTGTTTTGTTAACGGTCATTTCTCCTCGAATCGATTACTACAATGTGGGGTTCCTCAGGGAACTATATTAGGCCCGCTTTTATTTTTAATCTATATTAATGATCTTCCTAATTGTCTAATACACTCTCGGGCACGAATGTTTGCTGATGACACTAATTTGACATATGCAAGTAATAACATACATGAAATTAATCATAATCTTAACGAGGATCTTGCTAGTGTCAGTGAATGGTTATCAGCAAACAAACTTACTTTAAACCAGACTAAAACTGAATTTATGCTAATTGGCTTTCGCCAAAGAATAAACACTTTTCAATCTACTCCTTTATTAGTAATAAATAACGTTCCAGTTAAACAAGTCTCTCATACAAAATCACTCGGCGTACACATTGATGAGAACTTATCCTGGAATGTTCATATTGAGAAACTGAGTAAAAAAGTTGCTTCCGGTATTGGTGCACTAAAACGCATTAGACCTTATGTTCCTTTTACCACAATGCAACTTATTTACTAGTGCTTAGTTCAACCATATTTCGACTACTGCTCTGCTGTCTGGGATAGTTGCAGTAGTTATCTAGTTAACAAATTGCAAAAATTACAAAATCGTGCTGCCAGGGTATTGACATCTTCTAGTTATGATACAAATGCCGATTATCTTTTCGAAAGTCTTGGATGGAAAAATCTTGTATCTCAGCGTAGGCTTGCCAAGGCTATCATGGTGTATAAATCCTTGAATGGTCTTGCTCCAGATTATCTTTCTAATATGTTTGTTGATCGCAATAGTATCACAAATTATGCATTGAGAGACACCAGTAACAAACTAGCTTTGTCACTACCGCGTACTAATTACTTGGAAAATAGCTTTAGTTATAGCGGTGCAGTACTGTGGAATTCTCTTCCTACTGAGTTAAGACAGGCTAGTACTTTACACAAATTTAAGTCTGACTGTAGCAACTTTATTCAATAATTTTTAAATATTTTATCTAATTTTATCAATTTAATGCACGGCACTCATGAAAAACAGGTAGTTTTGTAAATATGTATAGTATAATTTATCATATATCTAATTTCCTTTGTTACTTTATCATAAGTGTGTAAAATCCTGATGAGTCCACCGTGACTAAATAAAGTTCACAAACAAACAAACTTTTCATATAATACGCACGCGACGAGACACATCTGCGTGTTCATTCTTTCTAGGCATGCGCATAAACTGAATTTTCTCCCACAATTGAAATGTTCAAGATTGCGGAATAAAAACTAGCAAAGTAATTGTTCGAATGCGTGCGGGACGGTGTCGTCAGATACTGTCCATAGTTGTGCCGATGATTTTTGATAAGGCACAGCTCTCCAATGAGAGGTAATGAAGTACGTTTTTGTCTTCTAAATTTCCATCATCATGTGTGCTGGAGAAAATTAGAAGACAAAGAAGTCTTTGGTTTTCAACTAAAGTTTCCGTGGAAATTTAGAAGGGAAATTTAGAATAAAAAAGCGTATGCATAGGAAATGAGGAAAATACGTGATTAAACGCCACTTTGGGTCGGTAGGTCCATGAGAATTGAAATCGAATTGCTAATAGATCAATTTGCTGTTGTTGTACTGTACATGTAAAATAAAAACTTATTAAGTGTCATTTAATAAATGCATAAATTTTGCTTTATGCACTCGCGTTTATACACCCTGTATAGGCTGTATGGGCGGAGGTATGCAGTCTCTGAGTGCCCTCTATTGTTTCTTTTGTATTTTCCTCGTGAATTAATGATTTTTTAAGTTATGTTATAAAACGGTTGTGTTATACCGTACCTATAGTTGACTTTAATTTACTCCTTTGGGTTTTTTGCTTAGATATTCACAGCAACGTTGAAACTATATTTTTAATAAACGATTTCTTTAGATAGTTTCTCAGAGATAAGAACCGAATACGGATATTGTATCTAATATTTCGATCATGGTATAACTTCATAATTCAAAATTAAATATATTTGTATTGCAGAAAATAGAAAAACAAGAACCAGTAAAATATGGTATGATAACTTGAAACACATTTACCACAATGAACAGGGTAATCGCAGCGCTGGCGGTAATTAGCTTAAGATTTGGTTGAGGTTAGGTTAAAGTTACTGTAGTTTCAGGTTAGGTTAATTTAAGGTTTGGTCGAGGTTAGGTTGAAGTTATAGTTTGACATTATGCTGAGCTTAGGTTGAAATTTGGTTGAGCTTAGATTGAGGTTAAAGCGAGGTTTGGTTGAGGTAAGTTTGAGGTTAGTTCGAGGTTACGTTGGAGTTAAGTTGGAGTTAAGTTGAAGTTAGATTGAGGTTAGCTCGAGCTTAATAAGTTAGTGCTTAGGTTAAGGATAGAGGTTAGGTTAAGGTCAGTAAAGATATATTAATGTACTTTTCAGCGAAAAGTTGTAATGACCTGTTCAAATCAGGCAAGACAACCACCGGGGTGTATACAATCGACCCGGACGGCCTGGGAGCTTTTCGTGTTCGTTGTGACATGGAAACCACTCCAGGGATGGGCTGGACTGTATTCCAAAGACGTGTAGATGGCTCAGTGGACTTTTACAGAAACTGGATTGACTACAAAACTGGATTTGGCAATTTGTCTGGTGAATTTTGGCTCGGTTTGGGCAAGATTCATCGTCTCTCAACCAGTGGGCAGAATGTACTGAGAGTTGACCTCGAAACTTTTGAAGACGAGACAGCTTATGCAATTTATGAATCATTTTCTGTGGGAAATAAAAGCGAAGGTTATATTTTGAATGCTGATACCTACTCAGGTACTAATAAATATATAGCTATAAATTCCTTGAATGCATGTATACAGAAATAATTCCGTCAATTAGATTGAGGTGCCTCCTTCGTAATTGGCAATTACCACTATAGAATTGTCACAATTGCAAGTGAAGTGGCTGCGATACATGTACATGGAATGTGAGTAACATGCTTCTTTTCAACTCGTTTTTCGTAATTTTTCATAATTATATTTCAAAACAAGAAACGTATTTGCGTAAGAAATAAAGAACGAGTCGCGTGCGTTTATGGTTTCGGGAATGTTGGGCGAATACGAAAGAAGCGTGTTAAACACGATCGAGGCGTAGCCAAGTGTTTTATTAATATTATTATTATTATTATTATTATTATTATTATTAAAGGTTTATTAAGAAACACATTTTGGCACCCGAAGGTGAATTGCAATATGCTTACAGAAACATAATAAAGGATGAATATCAAATAATATAAATATAGATATATCGTATATGTACAATTGTTAAAATAGGCTACTACAAATTATTTACTATTAAAATTAGCAGTCATTGCTGGTATAAAACTAGTTTTAAAACGTTCCGTTCTGCATTTAGTTAATGTGAAGTTAGAATTGTTTCTTAAGTCCAGTTCATGCGATTCTTCACGGAGTGGGGGTAAGAGGTGGTTGAGGTGAACATCGGGTTTTAAGATCTTTTTGAAAGTTTTAGCACATAGCTCTTGACGTCTGTCGTCAAGACGCTTGCATTTAGCGATGTTGAGAGCATCTTCGTAATCTGTTGTCGGATAAATAATACGGAAAGCTCTTTTTTGAACTTTTTCAATTTTATTCCCCAAACACTTTGGTAACATGGTGTGCCAGACAGGACAGGCATATTCTAAGATAGAGCGCACCATAGAAAAGTAGACTAATAAGAGGTCATTGGGGGAAGACCACAGCGCTGTAGGACACGAATAATGTATAAGCGTTTTGAGGCTTTTTTAACTAACGCTTCAGTGTTATCTCGCCATTTCAATTTATTGTTCATGGTTAAGCCCAAAATTTTGAATGAAGGAACTACGTCTAGAGGTAAACCATCAATGAAGAGTCGGGGGATGTCATTCTCGCTACGGACGAAACTCACTATCATTTCTTTGCATTTCTTTCCGTTCAATTTCATGTTGTTATTAACAGTCCATCTCTCAATTGTGTTAAGATCAGATTGTAGGACTGAAACTTCATTTTTCTTTGAGGACTCCGATATTGTTACGTCATCCACGTATTTCCAATGGTCAGTGCTAGAGGATGCCAGTTCAAGATCGTTGATCATAATTATGAACAAAATAGGGCCCAACTTAGTTCCTTGAGGGACACCTGCGTTATTGATTCCCCAATCAGATTGAAAATTGTCGATCTTTACCGATTGACGGAGATTTGAGAGAAAGCTGCATATCCATGGAATAAGCGACAATCTGACGCCAAGGGCCGGCAACTTTGGGACCAGGATATTATGGTCGATGCGGTCGAAGGCTTTACTAAAATCGAGGAAAACGATCCGCAGATAGCTCGATTTATCATCCAATGTTCTTAGCCAATTGTTGATCATATCGATCAAGCAAAACGTTGTAGAGGTTCCTTTAAGGCAACCAAATTGTTGCGGGTTGATTTAATTCCTCAAGAATTTTGGACAAAGAGCTGTAAGGGAGATTGGGCGCAACTCCTCTTCACAGGATACGGATGGCGCTTTAGGAATTGTAATTAACGCATCTTTCCATATGTTAGGGAATTCACCAGTGGACAGAGATGTATTAAAGATGTGACATACATGCAGGTTCGGCCAATTCGTACGCGAAATCCTTAATAATCCGGTTAGGAATATTGTCAGGACCGCTGGATTTGAAAACTTTTGTATTGAGCATCTTAGTGCAAACTTCGTCAGGGAAAATTTTTGGCACAGGCCTAGGTGCAGGGAGAAAGGCAGGTACCAGGAGAGGATTCAGTGGTGGTAGGTCATTACTCACGCTTAAGAAATAGGTGTTAAGTGATTGGGCGAGATCTTTACCAGATAGAGTGGTACCATTCTTAACGATCTTAATGTTATTGGTTGCAGATCTTTTTTTCTCGGACATCTGGTTAACACAGTCCCACAGGCTTCTGTCGTATTCTCACAACATTCCTCGCGTGCATTATCACACCATAAACGCACGAGATGAGTTTTCCTATTTCGTTTATAATATATGTAGATGATATTACATAGTAAACAATTTTATTCAAGAGATCGACCTCGAAATTCTTCTAACATGTACTCAGTGACGTTATGCGCATTTTTTTACTGTACCTTGAATTTTTAAGCGGCGAAGGAGCACAAACAATACAAAATTTTGATGTAGAAAAGTTGCGGAGAAACTGTTTAATACGCTGGATATAAAATACAGTGATACACAGACTAATTTGATAATGTTTAATTTTTCAACGTCTGGGCTGCTGAATTTGCCGTGAAAGATGTTAATTCGTTGGTTTCGTCGTGTTGCCCAGTTTTAATTTTTTTAAATTATTGTATTTTTCACCGTTTTACACGCACGCCGGACGCGACTGAGCAACGCGATGAAATCTTACAATATTCAAAAGTAAATAAGAAAGTGGAAGTCAAGTCCGTATGTAAACAAACGGTTTGTTTATATTTTGAACTGCTGTATTTCTTTAAAATATGATGTACTGTCTGAATATCTAACACCATTTTGGTTCGCTGTGCTTCTAAATGAATATGAAATAGAGTTTATGTTCAGAGAAATACGAAATATTCGAAATTTGGGCAATGTTTACATTGGAGGGTCCTCACATGGTTATGAGAAGAACCGATGCCCAGAACGGACTTGACTTCCACTTTAAGCAAATCCTCGAAATATTATATTATAGTCCCCCTCTCCCTCCCCCCCCCCCCCCCCCCC